TGCTGCTCAAGAAACATTTCTTAATATTATCCGTGGAAAAAAGTTGAAATAGAAATCTTTTGTACCAATGCAAATGTTTTACTGTCACTTTTGATCAATTTAACGCATCCTTGCTGAATTAATTTAAATAGTAGTATCTTAATAAAATCTTACTGTTTACGTGAAACCACAGAAATGTAAGATTTTTTGAGGGGCAATAACAGTGGAAATGTTCAACAGCTAAGACTAGAAGTTATCTAGACACAAATTGACTTTTAAAAATAAACCCACTCTGAGAAATTGTGTAAAAAAATGTTACAGCTAGCCCCGGTGTTGTCTATTTTGTAATATTTCACATCATTATAGCAGCAATAAACTTCTGAGGTACATATTTAGAAGATTCATCACTGACTTTTTTCATCTGCTGCTGATATATCCTTTTACCAGAGCATGTAAATTGTGCATAAATACAGATGTGTGCACATATTCACTGCTGTTTACATAGTCTAACGGAAAGGAACACCAGACTGTTCTCACAGCCTGCAATTGCACATTTGGCAGTGGCTTTGAGCTGACAAATTCAGTCAAATGGGCATGATAAGGGTGGGAGTTTTAACACACCATCAAGAGGCTGGCCATTTCTCTTCCAGGTGATTGTGGGTTGTGGTTTTCCTCTAGCAGAACACTTGATGTGGATGTCAGATCCAATCTCTGCTAACTGATTCTTCACTGGCTCCTCCTGCCAGCTGGGCAGCTCTGAGACACACAACATATCAATTGAATATGGATTAAAGCAACTTCCTAACTAGAGCAATACTGCCCCTCTGTGTTTATAAATGACATGACTTGAAATTTTGTAAAATATGTGCTTTGTAAGTACTAACAAACAGCCAATATGCTAGAAATATGCATGCTAGTGAGAATTATAAATACGCTTCATATAAAAATAGTTCAGTTAATAAACTTTAATTAATGCATCAACTATACCGTAATTATCTAACGATGAGCAACATGTTTGTCACAGTATTTATAATCTGTTTTAATGTTAGTTATTAAAAAATGCAATTGTTTTTTGTTAGATAACGTTATCTCAGGTCATTAAATAATACTGACGTACAACTTTTGATTTTAATAATCATTAGTAAATGCTGAAATTAATTTGAACTAAGATTAATAAATGCTTTAGAGGTACATTTCATTGTTTCATTGTTAGTTCATTGTTAGTAGAATGTGTAAATAATGTTAACAAATGGAACCTTGAAGTGTTATCAATTATTCTTGTCAAACTAATGTCCTAACTAGAATAAATGGGAATCGTCAAATACCCAGATAAAATTCAGGCTTAAGACTATAATGTAAATGTTTGC